AGATTTGCCATCGCCTTTCTCCCAAGGAGCAGGCGTCTTTTAATTTCGTGACTGCTGTCACCATCTGCAGTGATCATGGAGCCCAAGAAAATAAAATCTCTCACTGCCTCCATTTCTTCCCCTTCTATTTGCCAGGAGGTGATGGGACCAGTGGCCATGATCTTCGTTTTTTTGATGTTGAGCTTCAGACCATATTTTGCGCTCTCCTCTTTCACCCTCATTAAAAGGTTCTTTAATTCCTCCTCACTTTCTGCCATCAAGGTTGTGTCATCTGCATATCTGAGGTTGTTGATATTTCTTCCGGCGATCTTAATTCCGGCTTGGGATTCATCCAGCCCAGCCTTTCGCATGATGAATTCTGCATATAAGTTAAATAAGCAGGGGGACAATATACAGCCTTGTCGTACTCCTTTCCCAATTTTGAACCAATCAGTTGTTCCATATCCAGTTCTAACTGTAGCTTCTTGTCCCACATAGAGATTTCTCAGGAGACAGATGAGGTGATCAGGCACTCCCATTTCTCTAAGAACTTGCCATAGTTTGCTGTGGTCGACACAGTCAAAGGCTTTTGCATAGTCAATAGTTCTCATAGTTGTGTAATAATCAATCCTTCTTCCCGGGAACCTATGGGAATTGTAGTTCTGTGAGGGGAATAGGGGTCCCCTAACTGTCCCACACCTAACAACTCCCAGCATCCTTAGCAAGAAACTACAGTTCCCATAATTTTTGAGCAGGGGGAATAAGCCATTACTGTTTAAAGTGGTATGATACTGCTGTAAGTGGGGCCTCAAGGAGCGTGAAGAGTTTGTGGATGCCGTTCTGAATTGCCAGTTCAGATCACTTCTTACTTGGCAACTTCACAGCTATAGTTCAAGAGCAAAACTCTACCTGCACATAGAGCAAAAAGCATGCAAGTAACAAAAGATCACTCCCACCTGCAGCATCTTGTATCGTTTCCCCAAAATAACATTTGCATATCTAATATATTTTTCTCTAATATACCTGAATCTGGAAGAACATGAGCAAAGCAACATGTCTCTACCTAGCACAAAATCCCACCGTGAATGACTAGAGGCCAGAAATGGCTTGCTGGAAGGAGTGGAGCAGCCAGGCTAGCCTTTTGGCTTATCAAGAGGGGGGAAGGTGGGGGGCGGGCGGCACAGTGGCAGCACAGGAGCAGAGCCAATGCAGTGCTGCCGCCATTGTGTTTGCACCGCGCTGATCTCCCCGTTGCCTCTCCTTCCTGGTGAACAACAGTGACCCATCTGCCAGGAAGATAGCATCATGGCTCTGCCCCATCCAGTGAGCCACTTCTGCAACATGCCCTATAGATTTTAAGTTGTGATGAGCAAACTGGGCTGATATTAGCTTAATGCAGCGGAAAACCTTCAGCCAAAAGGCATATATGCATCAGGGTAAACCCATAACACATTTGACGCTAGCTAACCCTCTTCAGGCATTCATTATCTGTGAAGAATGGAAGTTGGGGGGGCAGTCCTCCATCCCACTGCATTAATTACCAATGGGTAATAAATGCAGGAGATAGGGCTAAAGTCTCTCTGTATTACTGACACTGTCAATAATGCCTTGTCCCACAATTTGGCTATGCAAAGGAGCATCGAACAGGCCCTATAATCAACCTCTCTCTAAACTGCTTGCCTTACAAACGTTTCTTAATATCCTTTAGAGCCTGGTCTCACTGTTTCGGGAGTATGAGAAGAGACACATCATTCCAAATCCTCTAATCGTGTCTGGAGGGTGGTGGCGGCGGCAGCAGCGACTGAGCCTCCATTGCTCCGCAAAAGAGCTTTAGAGTAATCAACGGTGTCTCTTCTTGGCATGAACACAGGGAAGGTATTTGCAGATGCCTGGGAATAAATGTGTTGCCAACAGCACTGGCTCGAGAAAGAAAACTCCCATAAAATTTCTGCAGAAATGCAGGTTCCAGATGCTTGGACTAATTTGCAAAGCCCAAAACAACTTGAGCCTTAAGGGGTGGCTGATTCCTTATGCTCCACCTGGATTGCTGAGATCCTCTGATGAGGCACGTCTGGTGGTTCCCCACAGCCAGGAAGTTCAATTTTGGCCTTTACTAGGGACAGAGACTTTCGTGTGGCAGGTCCTGACCTGTGGAAATCCCTAACCTGGACAGGAATAATCTACTTGGCAGAAATAACCTCAGGTATCTTCCAAACATCTTCTGAAAACTCCATTACTTAGACAGGCCTTTGCAACAAAGGTCCCGTCTTGGGCCAAACATTTTTTTTTGGGGGGGCAGGTGGGTCACACATGTGACGTTGTGCGCATGACATGCATCATGTACCTGTAATGTCACACACGTGTTGCACATGTGTCACCAAGAGGAGGCTTGCCCAGTGCCATATAGCTTCAATGGCTGTGACTCCTCCTCTCTCATGCTCTGGAGAGCCTTCCTTTCATGCTGTGCCATGCTCAGCTCGGTGATTCAGCCGCCTCTGCCCCATCAATATTTTTTGGGGGGGCTGAGCCCCCTGCTAAGGAATATTGAGGGGGCTGATGACACCTCCGCCCCCTAAAGTTGGCACGCCTGCTTTGCAATGTTATTTTTCTTTTCTTTTGAACCAACCACTGTTTACTGGTGTTTTCGTTCATGCTTTTGCCGATTTTATTATAATGTCAGCCCGCTGAGAGTCTCAATGGCCAGAGAGAGAGGCCTGAGGAGCCACATTTGACCCTCAGGCCTGTTCCCACTCCTGGCCAAAGGACTAGCAAGATGTTCCTGCATTCTCTTACCATTGGATCAGCTGCAGAAAAGAGGAAGGGAATATGTACATTTCCCCCCTTTCTGGCTGCTATTGTGACAAAAACTAAAGCCAAAATACAGCCCTGAAGCACCCCTCTTTTCCCATGTTCATGTTCTGCATGTGTAGGCTCTGTTTGTGGGTTCTGGTGAAAATTTGGAGGCTGGGAGTTGAGTCAGTGGGCACAGTCTCATTCTCCTTCTCCCCACCCCCACCCCGCCCCGGTCCACAGTCCTTTTTCAATTTAGCTATGTCTGCTTCCTGATTTCAGAAGGTCTCCTTTCCCTGGGCAATGCCCACCCTGCCAGCCCTGATATGCAGGGGGGAAAACACAGAGCCCAGGACTGTGTCTTCGGAATGTTCCTGCTGCTAACCCTTCTCGCTCACTCTCAAAACCACGACTCTTGCCATTTACATCAGCTCCAAATAGCCTCTTCCCTCCAATAAGCTAACATGGAGGTATTTTTAGGCTGTGATCATGCCCTGATCTAGCCCATTCTTTTTTTAGATTACAAATTTAGATTCAACCTCTTTGTGTGTGCGTGTCTGTGTGTATCCAATGCTCTGATCACTTGGACACTTATCACCCTTCTTTGTTAGTTTTTGCCCTAGTTATTCTTATTTTACCTCCCTTATGCTTGAGAACAGGGAGGGAGCACCTGTGGTTCTCCCAGTGAAGTTAGACTCCCACTCCTGTCAGCCCCAGCCCCAGTAAGGCCAATGGTCAGGGATGATGGGAGTTGTAGTCTCACAACATCTGAAGGGCCACAGGCAGTGGCGTAGCGTGGGTTGTCAGCACCCGGGGCAAGGCGAGTAATTTGCGCCCCCTAACCCGTGGATTTGCCTAACCCCCAGATGTTGTGCCCGGTGCGGCCGGCCCCCCCTGCACCCCCCACGCTACGCCACTGGCCACAGGCTCCCCATCCCTGCTCTAAAGTTAGGGTTCTCCATGTGTGTGTAAGGTAGGGGTCCTTATGGGAACATGAGCAATTGCAAGGGGAGTGGAGGTCTTGACCTCAGCCTCTGCATGCCAACAACTCAACCAATTTTGATTGGGTTTTGACACAGAGTGAGGTTCTATGTACAATGCATAAATGGGCTCCCCTTTACTGCAAGAATTTAGGAGAGTCTAAATGTGGGGGGAGGGCACCCCAGTTTCTGCCACCAACCAGAGGAACAAGAACCACGGGGCAGTGAGACTCCTTTCATTCAAGGAAGGAGGCCAGGGAAAAGGGAAAACCAGTTTGGCCCAGCCTACTAAGGCATAGAAGACACAGCTGCTAAAAAGAACTCTGCTTCTGTTGCCAGGTGACCTAAGGATGGAGGACCAACTCTCAGCCCAGTCTACCTGAAGGAGCATCTCCACCCCCATCGTTCAGCACCAAGGGCCTTCTGGTGGTTCCCACACTGCAAGATGTAAAGCTACAGGGAACCAGGCAGAGGGCCTTCTCAGTAGTAGCACCCACCTCGTGGAATGCCCTCCCATCAGATGTCAAGGAGATCTTTTAGGGGAGATTTAAAGGCAGCCCTGTATAGGGAAGCTTTTTAAGGTTTAATGTTTTAATAGGTTTTTATATATGCTGGACATTGCCCAGAGTGGCTGGGGCAACCTAGTCAGCTGGGCAGGCTACAATTGTTGTTGTTTCCACTTTGCACAGAGTGTCCAAGACGATGAGATGCAGCCTGCGAGAATTCTCAAGTGTGCATGGCTGACTTCTTCAAACTAGGGGGGGCTTGCTGAGAGTGCCATGTCTGATGGGCTTCCAAATCCTGGAGATGGACTTCCTGGGATTGCAGAAGCAAGAGGAAGGAGGGCACTTAGCATCAAGGATACAAGGACCACTGGGTGGTTGTTAGCGCTTTTGTTTTTGTATAGCTGCAGCCCATTGTAAGCTGCCTTGGGAACCATGTGATTGAAAGGCAGGGTCCAAGACTTTAAAACAAGTCGAGCTGAGATCAAGGCATGCAACAGCCCAAGTGAAGGAGCTATATTGCCGGTCAAAAGTGTGCTTCCCAGCAGTGGCGTAGCGTGGGTTGTCAGCACCCGGGGCAAGGCAAGTAATTTGCGCCCCCTAACCCGTGGATTTGCGCCCCCTAACCTGTGGATTTGCCCTAACCCCAGATGTTGCGCCCGGTGCGGCCGGCCCCCCTGCACCCCCCACGCTACGCCACTGCTTCCCAGGCAGCCCAGAGGAACCCAGGCAGGCACAGACAACTTACCACCATGCGATTCAGTGAAACCCAACAGTCGTCAGGGAAGTCCTGGAGCATTGGCACCAGAAACTGGAGGCAGCCGTCCCAGTGACACAGCAGCAGCATCATGCCGATCAAGTTCACGATCCGCACCACGGCGCTTGCCAGGTCATAGGTCATGTGGAAGATCTAGGAGAGGCCAATGCAGAGGGAGGGGGAGAGGGTTACCAAACAAGTACCAAGAGATGGAAAATGCATGCGCAGGAGATGGGAGCAACGCATGCAGCCATGCAACCCAAGATGGATTCACCCTCTTTGCTTTCATCACATGGACGTCTAATGCCATTTTTAAGCTCATAGTTGCCCTGCTTATTGTTACCTTACATCCCCTACGTTCTAAAGCCGGGATGGGGAACCTGTAGTTCTCCAAGTGTTGTTGGTCTTCAGCCCCAGTATAGCCAATGTCCAGGGGGTAGTCCAACAACATTTTAAAGGCAATGGGTTCCCCACTTTTGCTTGAGAACTCAGAAGTTTTTGGACTGCAATTCCCAGAAGCCCCAGTTCCAGTATGGCTAAAGGCTACCTCAGAAGATGGTGGATGTTTTTAAACAGAGTTTGAATGGCAACCTGCCAAAGATTCTTTAACAGTGAATCTTGCAATGCCTAGATGAACCTTGTGGTTCCTTCCAACTAAGGAATTCTATCATTCTAACAATAATAATATAGCGACAATAATATATAGCCATATTTCCCAGTGCATGTGACCTCCCATAGCCGTGGTTCCAATTGCAGCAGAAGCAAAAAGGGAAGCTACGAATAGCTAACAAAGCAGACAATGAACGCAATCTGATGTTTAGCAATGCGATGCCTCTCTCCATTCATATTCCACCCACCTCCCCTGCCAAGCACTCCCCCCCCCGCCAATATGGGGGATTCATCTTCAATTCTCATGTGCAGCTTGGGTGTGTTTCACAGATCATCTCCCAACCTGTTAACACATTCCGGCTTTACTGCCTCCTGTGAGAGAATGAAGTGTTCATGAACAAGCAGAAATTCAAGAGGGGATGACAATGACTTCAAGATGAGTCAGGCAAAACGCACGACTCGGGATTCTAGACAAAACGCTCTCCTGGAATTCCTAGGAGCTAACGTGCATGCATTCAAATATGCACAGCTGTCCAAAATCTGCCCAGTCGTCTGATTCGGGGGGGGGGTGCCTAGTGGGTACTCACCTATTTATTATATTCAGTTTTATTTATTAACGGGATGCGGGTGGCGCTGTAAGTTAAACCACAGAGCCTAGAACTTCATGATCAGAAGGTCGGTGGTTTGAATCCCCGTGACGGGGTGAGCTCCCGTTGCTCAGTCCCTGCTCCTGCCAACCTAGCAGTTCAAAAGCACGTCAAAGTGCAAGTAGATAAATAGGTACCACTCCGGCGGGAAGGTAAACGGTGTTTCTGTGCGCTGCTCTGGTTCACCAGAAGCTGCTTAGTCATGCTGGCCACATGACCTGGAAGCTGTACGCCGGCTCCCTCAGCCAGTAAAGCGAGATGAGCGCCGCAACCCCAGAGTCGGCCACGACTGGACCTAATGGTCAGGGGTCCCTTTACCTTTTTATCCCACCTTTTCCCTAAGGAGCTCAAGGTGGGGTGAATGGTCCCCTTCTCCATTTCCCCCCACAACAACCCTGAGAGGTAGGTTAGACCATGGGTAGGCAAACTAAGACCCAGGGGCTGGATCTGGCCCAATCGCCTTCTAAATTCGGCCTGCAGACGGTCCAGGAATCAGCGTGTTTTTACATGAGTAGAATGTGTCCTTTTATTTAAAATGCATCTCTGGGTTATTTGTGGGGCATAGGAATTCGTTCATCCCCCCCCCAAAAAATATAGTCTGGCCCCCCACAAGGTCTGAGGGACAGTGGGGCGGCCCCCTGCTGAAAAAATTGCTGAACCCTGGGTTAGACTGAGAGATGGCGACCAGCCAAAGGTCACCCAGGGAGCATCATGGCTGAGTGAGGATTTGAACTTTGGTCTCCAAGGTCCTAGTCCAACACTCTAACCACTATGCCATGCTGCTGCTGATCTTGGGGGTTTCTATAACTTGTTTTATGCCCTCCATAGGTAACCATTCATATTTTGTCTGGTTAAGGGAAAATAATATAAATATTTAGAAATATTTTTTAAATTTTAAAATGGCAGGATATACACAAGCACACATCATTTAAATAGATTATATCGGGCTCCAGAATACTTTGGATTTTTGATATGTTTGTCTTTATTGCCTCTTGGCATTTGTCCTTAAGGCTCGTGAGGAGCCACAGTCTAAGGCTGCACAGACTGTACATTGAAGGCACAATTAAAGCACATGGCTTCCCCCGAAGAATGCTGGAAGCCATTGTTCCTCACAGAGCCCTCCCAGGAAGAGAGTCATTGGTAAATGTCAGGGACAACAGGATCACTGTGTGTGCTCCTTTCGAACACCAGTTTTGTAGAGTACCATTTTACTTCTGTGTTGGACATTATTCTCTCTCCAGTCTAGCCTTAAACTGTTAAATTAGGCTAGCTTAGTTGTTTTATTATCATAAGAATGTAAGAAGAACCCTGATCAAAGACCTATGTAGTTGCCAGGATACTACCAGTGGCTTCTGGCTGGTTGCCCAGTAAAATATAAAGACAAGGAAAAGTTTCTTACCGTCCTTTTTAATTTCAATATTACAGAGAGAGGCTATAGAACTCAGCCTCTTGGATAGTGGCATTGTCCCATGTGAATCTCCACCCTCCCTCTTTCCCACTTCCTCCTTTGTTACTTCTATGGGTGCTGCTACGTGCCCTCTGTCTTTGAGCTCTTTGCTCTCCTACTTTTATGGCTCACCAGGTTCTGGTAGATGGAGGGTCTGGGGTGCTTTCTAAAGACACAGTGTCAGTCAGCTGCCATTCCAGTCCTGCCTCCTCCTCTCCCATTAGTTCCCAGCTTTCCCCCTCATCTGCCTCTGAGCTGTGTCCTCCCTCAAACCCCTGTTGTAAATCTACACTGTCTTCCTCTTCCTCCTCCCTGGAGGGGTCAGGATGGGGAGTTGGTCTCCACCATTCCTCCTTTGCCCACCCCCTGACAGTAGTCCAGCATCTTCTGCCCCACCAACCTCAGTCTTTCCCCAGCAAGGACCCACCTGCCTGCCTTCTTACTTACAATCACTTTATCGGGTTGCCCTGCCTGTCACCTTCCTCCCCCTTAGTCCTAAATGTTGCCCATTGAAGAACTCAGTAGCAGGGGCAGGATGGAGGCAAGAGTAGAATCATAGAGTTGGAAAGGTAGCACAAGTAGAATGAATTGGATCTGCCTATCATGGACTCTGGCGCCACCTTGTTGTTGTTGTTGTTGTTTAGTTGTTCAGTCGTGTCCGACTCTTCGTGACCCCATGGACCAGAGCACGCCAGGCACTCCTGTCTTCCACTGCGTCCTGCAGTTTGGTCAAACTCATGCTGGTAGCTTCGAGAACACTGTCCAACCATCTTGTCCTCTGTCGTCCCCTTCTCCTTGTGCCCTCCATCTTTCCCAACATCAGGGTCTTTTCCAGGGAGTCTTCTCTTCTCATGAGGTGGCCAAAGTATTGGAGCCTCAGCTTCAGGATCTGTCCTTCTAGTGAGCACTCAGGGCTGATTTCCTTCAGAGTAGATAGGTTTGATCTTCTTGCAGTCCATGGGACTCTCAAGAGCCTCCTCCAGCACCATAATTCAAAAGCATCACTTCTTTATGGTCCAGCTCTCACTTCCATACATCACTACTGGGAAAACCACAGCTTTAACTATACGGGCCTTTGTCAACAAGGTGATGTCTCTGCTTTTTAAAATGCTGTCTAGGTTTGTCATTGCTTTTCTCCCAAGAAGCAGGCATCTTTTAATTTCGTGACTGCTGTCATGGAGCCTGGTGCTACTGACTGTTGACCTCTCTGCCTTCTGCCCTACCAGTCCCAACAGCCACTGGTACCACTGCCTAGTTCAGCTGTGACAACCTTCCTTAGCAAATAAGGCCCTGGCGCACAGTAGAGGCATTGATTCCTCTGCGACCCTTTCAAATATAAATGAAATGGACTCCTCCCGTGATGCTTTTCCCTGTCTAGCCGAGGGAGAGCAAAGGGAGGCAGTGGAGGGAATTCCCAGGGTGTGACCCCGTTGCATCCTCTTGAGACAAGGGCATCCTGACTCGACAGCTGTGTTTCCCTGCCGTAAGCAAAGAGGGTTGGCAGGAACCTCCTAGGCAGGCTGGATGACTAGCGGGAAAGAGACTCAAGCTGCAGAGCGTGTGGATGTATTGGGGAAACGTTGTTGATTTATTTACACAGACAACCCAGCTGGTCTCAAGCAGTTGCCAGGCAATCTCTTTGCTCAAGTGATTGGAATCCACAAGGCAAAAAGAGAGAAGCTCCTCCAGTTCACCTCTAATGACAGAGCAAGGCCACAGGGACTGGAGGCGGGAGAGAAATCCAGTCTAGTTGTGCTATAGTTTGACAAATCCCATGATCTAGAGTTAGGAGTGAGCAGTGAGGTGGCCAAGTTTGCTGATGATACTATATTGTTCAAGCCAAGGGTTGTTAAAACAAAAAGGGTTTGCCAAGACCTCTGGAAGGACCTCTCCAAATTGAGGGAATGGGAAGTAAAATAGAGAATACAATTGCATGTAAAGTGATATATGCTGGGGAGGGGGATCTTAATTTCAACTATATGGTCATGGAGTCTGAACTTGCAGTGACAGACCAGGAACAAGGTTTTAGGTTTGCAGTATGTAGCTTGAGGAAGACACGCACCCAGTGTGCACCAGCTGTGAAAAAGGCAAATTCCATGCTAGGGATCGAAAGGAAAATAAACCTGCCATAATGTCATTACACAAATGTATGGCATAACTGCATTCGGAATACTGTGTGCAGTTCTGGCTGGCTCACAACACAAGAGATGCTGTAGAGTTGACAACAGTTCAGCAATCAAAATGATCAAGGGGATAGAGCAAATCACCTATCGATTATAGAATAATAAAGTTGGAAGGGACCATCTAGTTCAGGGGTCAGCAACCTCTTTCAGCCAGGGGCTGGTCCACCATCCCTCAGACCATGTGGTGAGCCAGACTATAATTTGAAGGGGGGGGGGATGAACGAATTCCTATGCCCCACAAATAACCCAGAGATGCATTTTAAATAA